AGGCGGTGGAGGAGGAGACACCGGGGGAGGGACAGACGGCGAGGACTGCGCCGGAGGACTACCAGAGTCAGAAGACTCGTCGACCGGGACGACCGACGGGAGGGGGGTGACGTGAGACACACCAGAGGGGGCCGGACGGGGGGGCGGGGGGGGGGGAGGGGCAGGGACCACCGGGGAAAGAGGGACCAGGAACAGGGGGGGAGTAACCGGGGGACCACGGTGGGGGAAGCGGCGGTAGAAGGAGACGGACTCGTCAAAGGTGACGTCGCGAGAGTGAAAGAAGCGGTGAGACGGCGGGTGGTAGAAGTGCCAGTCGGACGCGTCAAGGGGGAAACCGAGGAAGACGCAGGGAAGGGTGCGGGCAGTGAGCTTGTCCGTGCCAGAGGCACGAACGTGAGCAAGGCAGCCCCAGACGTGGAACGCAGACGCGTCACCAGGGGACCCGGTCCACAGAAGGGTCGGCGAAACCGGCGGCCGCTGGGGGTGCGGCCACAGGTTAAGCTGGTGAGCGGCGTAGCGCACGGCGAACGGCCACAGAAAATGGGGTGCACCGGCGTGGATCATGGAGGTGCGAGCCACCTCCATGACCAAACCCGATGCGTCTCTCAGCGACCCCATTCTGCTGCGGGGAGTCCGGCAGGGTAAACGTCTGGGTGATGCCCTCCGCACGACAGAAGCGACCAAGGACACCTGAGGCAAACTCGCCACCCCGGTCGGAGTGGAGGCGCAAGGCAGGGAGACCGCGGTGGAGACGAGCAGAGACAAGCCAGGGGATGAGAACGTCAGGCACGTCGGCCTTCCGCTCCAGGGGAAAGACGGTGGTGTAACGTGTGAAGTCGTCGACAAGCACTAGGAAGAAGCGCTCGCGACGCGGCCCATGGACCGGGGCTGGGCCCCAGACGTCCATGTGCAGAGTCTGCAGTGGTGCGGTGGTAGGGGGAAACGAGGAGGAGTGAGGGGCACGGCGGAGCCGGCCCTCGACACAAGGCGTGCACGGGGTGGCGGGGGAGGAGGGAAACTCGGGGAATGAACCGGGGAGACCAAGGACGAGACCGTGCTGGGACATGTGACGCAGACGCGGGAGTGCAGGGTGACCAAGGCAGTGGTGCCAAAGGAGAGTCGGGTGAGTGAGGGACCGACAGGAGCACGCAGCAGCAACCTGGGTGGACGCAGCGACCTGGGGGGAAGACCCAGCTGCGGAAGTCGCGGTGTCAAGTGTGAACAGGCCGGACACCGGGTCCCGGGGGAAAGTGGTAAGGGGGGCACCAGTGGCGGCCTCGGTACAGACAGCATACCGCTCGTGACCAGGGAACGTAGTGGTGACGCCAAGGTCCTGGAGGCAGCCGACACCAACTAGGTTCCTGGAGAACGAGGGGATATGCAGACCGGTGAGCGAACCTGAAGGAACCGCCGGACAGGGAAGGGAGGTGGAACTGCGGGCAACGACGGGACCACCGGAGGGGTCAGCAAGAGTAACTGCAGCGGGAACAGGCAGCGGCGTCAGCGTCGTGGAGTCGCGGAAGAAACACCGGGAGGCGCCAGAGTCCAAGGTGAAGGAAAGCGCAGCAGTCGCGCGAGGCGGCAGTGAAGCGGTGGAAGCACCGAGGCTAAGCAAAGCAGGAGATCCTACGCCTGACGCAGCAGGGGAGTCTACGATAGGCACATCTACACTAGGGAACACAGGGTAATAAGAGAGAAGCACACTAGAGTCATCAGCATACATCACATGCAAGGCTGCTACAATGGCATCCATGTCCAATTCAAAAATCTGAATGCTACGCCTAAGCAAGCTGTGCCAGTCCGGGAGGTCGGGCGCCGGGCCAAAGCGCTGACGGAACAGGTCGTCCAGACGACGAAAACAGCGAGGAGTGGAATGACCGATCTTACCGCAAACGAAACCGCGGCGAGGACCGGTCTGGATCTGGTACTGACAGCGCCCGCCTCCAGAACCACCACCCGGCACACCACCACGCGCACGACCACCACCAGCTCCAGGCCACCCAGGCGGGAGAGCACTCGCCTGCCTCGTCTGCGGCGGCTGCTGCGGCTGCTGCGGAGGCTGCGGCTGCGGCGACTGCTGCTGCTGCTGCTGCTGCGACTGTGGAGGCAGCGGGGCAGCTGGACTGGGCAGGGTCCCCACGTCCGCACCGGCACCGGACGACCCGACTCCACCACCACCCCCACCCGCACCCCCGCCGCCTCCGCCGCTCCCAACCTTGGGGCGGCGGCCCTTCCCCGAGCGGGACTGCACTGCAGCAGCAGTCTCAGCCACAGCGACAGAGCCGTCGGAGAAGGTACACTGAGCGGGGGCACAACCCTGAAAGATAGGGACCGGTACTGTACCGCTCGCCTGGGCGATGGAGCGGTGACGAGTCTCTATAACAGTCAGGGTGTCAACAAAGTCGGTGAGGGTGAGAGCAGCGGGGTGGATGCTAAGGAACTGGTCGCGGGCGGCGGCAAGGCGGTCAGGGAGGCGGGTGGCAAGGAGGTAGAGGGTAGAGGTCATGGGAGGCTGGTGGACTCTAAGCTGTGCATCAGTGCAGGCAGCGCGCCAGGTCTCATCGATCGAGCGCAGGTGGGCAGCGAGGTCAGAGACAGTGGGGAAAGACGCAAGGTCAGGAAAGAGCAGGGGGAGGATCAGGCGACCCACTGAGGCAGCAGGAGGGGTAGAATAGCGCTTGATGACAGCATCGAGGTAGGCCTGGGCGGTAGTAATGGTTCTAAAGCGAGGGCGCTCAGGGGGGGGGAGGGCATTGCTAATGGCGAGCTGAGCAAGGGCATCGCGGGAAAGCCAGACAGAGCGGGCAAGGGCAGCGGCGGCAGTGGACTCGCGCTCAGCGGGCGTGGGATCAGCGGGCAGCACAGCAGGGGGGTCAGGGCAGGGGAGCATACCGTCTAGGTGGGCAGAAAGCGGGTGGCCGTCCTGCCGCTGACCAGTGAGGTGGCGGCGAAGGTCAGCCAACCACGCCTCGAACTCCAGAGGCTGACCCTCAGCATCAAAACGAAGCTCAGCAGCCATCAGGGGCAGTGTAGGACGGTGGAGTGCGGTGTAGTGCTGTTCAGTGCGGTGCAGGGCAGTGCAGTGCGGTGCAGTGCGATGCAGTGCGGTGCAGTGCGGTCCAGTGCGGCGCAGTGCGGTCCAGTGCGGTCCAGTGCGGTGCAGTGCGGTCCAGTGAGGTGCAATGCGGTGCAAGGCGGGGCAGGGATGTGCAGGAGGGTGCAAAGCGGTGCGGGGAACAAGGGACAGTACCAGGAAGTATGTAGGGCCAGGGCAGGCGCGACGGGACCAGGCAGGCGCGACGGGGCCGGGCAGGCGCGACGGGGCCGGGCAGGCGCGACGAGGGGCCAGGCAGACGCGACGGGGCCGGGCGGCTGCGACGGGGCCGGGCGGCTGCGACGGGGCCGGGCGGCTGCGACGGGGCCGGGCGGCTGCGACGGGGCCGGGCGGCTGCGACGGGGCCGGGCGGCTGCGACGGGGCCGGGCGGCTGCGACGGGGCCGGGCGGCAGCGACGAGGCCGGGCGGCTGCGACGGGGCCGGGCGGGCGTGACGGGGCCGGGCGGGTGCGACAGGGGCCAGGCGGCTGCGACAGGGGCCGGGCGGGCGCCACGGGGCCGAGCGGCTGTGACGGGGCCGAGCTGGGGCGACGGGGCCGAGCAGGTGTGACGGGGCCCAGGAGGGGCGCGACGGGGCCCAGGAGGGGCGCTACGGGGCCCAGGGAGGAGCGCGGCAGGGCCCAGGAGGGGCGCTAAGGGGGGGCCCAGGAGGGGCGCGACGGGGGGCCCAGGAGGGGCGCGACAGGGGCCCAGGGAGGGGCGCGGCGGGGGCCCAGGGAGGGGCGCGACGGGGGCCTGGGAGGGGCGCGACCGAGCCCAGGAGGGGCGCGACAAAGCCCAGAAGGGGCGCTACGAAGCCCTGGAAGGGGCGCGACGGGGCCTGGAGGGGCGCTACGAAGCCCTGGAAGGGGCGCGACGGGGCCTGGAGGGGCGCTACGAAGCCCTGGAAGGGGCGCGACGGGGCCTGGGAGGAGCGCGACGGGGCCTGGAAGGAGCACGACGGGGCCTGGGAGGAGCGCGACGGGGCCTGAGAGGAGCACGACAGGGCCCAGGAGGGGCGCTAAGGGGCCCAGGAGGGGCGCGACGGGGCCCTGGAGGGGCGCTACAGAGCCCAGGAGGGGCGCGACGGGGGCCTGGAGGGGCGCTACGAAGCCCTGGAAGGGGGCGCAACGAGGCCTGAGAGGAGCACAACGGGGCTAGGGGGGGGGGGAGTCGCGACTGGGCTCAGGAGGGGCGAGGCTAGGCTAGGAGACGCGACGGGAGGAGCGGAAGCGGTAGGTGGGGGGGGTTGGGGGTCGAAACCTACGCGTGATACCATCTCAAAACTAGAATTGAATTATGATAGAGTTAGAGAGTACATGCACATATACCTAAATGTTGTACCCTCTAGGAGGTTACCCTATACAGTCTATACAAACATGATCAATAAACATGTTTGACAGACTTCAACTCAGTTACTGCCCGACGACAGAAATGGCCGCAGATTATCTGACGAAGAAATTGGCGAAAGCAAAATTCGACTACTGCATGCTCCTGACCGGGCAAACAAACGTCACCGGATCTGAACACGCCAGCACTCTAGAAACGAAGGGGAGTGTTGGAAATATCTCAAAGGACTTAAGCGTTTCTGAAGTATAACACTGTACTCGAGGAAGATTACAGGGGAGCACGCGAGTCAATGGAGGTTACACGAGGGGGCGGACAAAGAATGCGAAAAGACTCGAAAGGTCGCAACTGGAGGTTACGACTGACCGTTACAACATCACGGATGGTAACCGAAGCGGCAATCGAGTCGCTGTGCGACTCGATAAACCGTTCCTGTAACTGTATTCTACAACTGCTTTCTTATCCTCTATATATTGCTGCATGCTTGTTTCTTTAATTAATCACTTGTTCTCATATAACTAGTACAAGGGTTCAACTGCCTCAACTTCCGCTGCACTACTCAAGTCTTCACAGCCGGGACTTAGTCTCTGAAAAGATCCTAAGGGCTTTTTCTCAGCCCAATAAAAATCCTGATATCGTGGGGCCTGACCCTGACCCTGACAATCAGGGTTGGTTGGTAGTGTACTAGTTTTTTTTCATCGGGTGGTCTTGGTTTTCTCTTTTTTTAGGCTGATTCATCAGGGTTGGTACAAGCAGGGACTTCGGAAAAAAAGCGTAATCAGCGTAAAATTCCTGATATCGTGGGCCCTGGTTGGAATCCATGACTACAATGGAGCAATGAGCCAAAGCCTTTTCAAGATTCCTTAACTGCATGCACCTCACGATCCAACAGTGCTGCAGGCCCAGCTAGAAGCAAGGCAGTGCGTCTTACTGTGTGCAGCGAGGCACCTTGGCGTGCAGGGCAAGAAAAGCAGAGCTCTGGTGTGGCAGGGTAGCAGGGAGTGAGGGGTCCATGACTATGAGGCAGGGAGAGGAGAGAGCGGCGGGGGTAGGGAGGTCATGCACCACAAGGCAGGTAGCCAGCCAGAGAAGGCGGGCAGTGGAGGTGGAAGAGCAGGCATCGCTGTCGGTGTTGCTGCACATGCTCTGCTGTGGCTGTGCCCGGGAATGTGCCTGCACGCAAAGGCAGTGGTAGGAGGGACGTTCAGTGTCTTGTGAATGTACGTGCACATGGCCAGCAGCATTCCCAGTGCTGGTGCGCAACGGCTGCGACAGGCAATGCCAGCATCCTCACATTGCCTTGACTCAGTTCCGTTGTAAGTGCCCTTCACTCATTCCAGACACCTCTCCGCGGTTCCACCTTCCATCCCCCACATCCCCCTCTATCCCCCACATCCCCCTCTATCCCCCACATCCCCCTCTATCCCCCACATCCCCCTCTATCCCCCACATCCCCCTCTATCCCCCACATCCCCCTCTATCCCCCACATCCCCCTCTATCCCCACATCCCCCTCTATCCCCTACATCCCCCTCTATCCCCCACATCCCCCTCTATCCCCCACATCCCCCTCTATCCCCCACATCCCCCTCTATCCCCCACACCCCCCTCTATCCCCCACACCCCCCTCCATCCCCCACACCCCCCTCCATCCCCCACACCCCCCTCCATCCCCCACACCCCCCTCCATCCCCCACACACCCCTGCATCCCTACCTGAGCAAGGTCCAGGAGCTGCGGCAGGAGGGAGCGAGGCAGCAGGCCTGCACCAATGAGCCGGTGACACGTAGCAAGGGCGGGCAGAGAGAGCTGGCGGGTCCGCCAGAGCGAGCCCACCAGGGCAGAGACCCGGGCAGGTTGGAAGATGTGGGAGAGCCATCGGGGCGGGGCGTTGGGTGGGGCGAGGTGCAGGCAGGCAGCAGCGATGGGGAGGGTTGCCAGGGCGTGGGAGAGCAGGAGGCCGAGCATGGCAGGGGAAGGGGAGCACGACGATCGTGCGTGTGCTCCCTCTGGGTCCCCAGCAGGCCTCATCTCACCATCCCGCATTGCTGCCGCGTCCGGCACGGCTGCATTGGCAGTGGCACCAGAAGAGTTACCAGCAGCAGCAGGCAGGGCAGTGGTGGCAGCAGCTGCGGCGGTGATGGAGGCAAGGGCATCGTCGAGGAGCAGTCGCGTCCATGGGCTGGCTGCAAGGGGGCGGGCCACAGAGCGCAGGTCGAAGCAGCGCAGCAGCAGGGAGAGCGCGGCACACGTGTTGCGGCGCACAGGGGGGTGGGGGCACGAGGCAGCATGCTGCAGTGCGGCAGCAATAGGCCAGAGGACAGTGGAGGGCAGCGAGGGAAGTGCGGAGGTTGAGGACGGAGTAGGAGGGGTCAGGGGAGAGGGCTGATAGGATGCCAAGTCATACTGGCTATCTTGTTTATCCAGCTGTGGGTTGCTTGCACCTGAGGTGTTCCCAGGTGCAGGCAGCGACAGTGTCAAGGCAGGTTGGGGAAAGGTAGCTGAGGCGCCTTGGTCCAATGGCAGTGGCACTGCATGGTGGTGCGGTGACGAGCCATGTGCAGGGACAGCGAGGGAGGAGAGGCACGACAGCAGCGCACGGGAAGCAAGGTCGGCAGCAACAAATGCATCCTGCGTGCTGCCATACCCGCATGTGCCACCTGCCCTCCCCGCCCAAGACCCGCCCTCACCTCCCTTGCTCTCGTCCCCACTCCCATTCACGCCACCACTGCCGTTTCCAGGGCCATTGCCTTGCCCTGCTGCTCCTCCCACCGCCCGCCCTCTGCTGCCTGCTGCCAGCGTCGCAGGCAGCTGCCCTGCTGCTGCCGCCAGCAGAATGGCAGCGAAGTCGGACGCTGAAGCCAAGCACAAGGCAGCTGGGCACTCCTGCTGCTGCGGCCTCTTGGGGGCTGATGGGTCGCCCTGACTGGCACACACTGTGGCAGGGGGAGTGGCGCTCTCTGCTGCTGCTGCTGGTTGCGGTGTTGGAGGGGAGAAGCGCAAGGCGAGATTCAAGGGACGAATGCCCGAGGGAAGAGTGGAGGTAGCCTCGAGAGCAAGCACCCTGTGGTGGCATAGTGGAGGCAGTGGGGGAGGGCAGCAGAGTGGGGGATGTATGTCAGTGACGGCTGGCAGAGCGTGCTATGGCAATTTGAGAGAGAGGAACCAAGACCAGTAGTGCACATGGCCTATAGTGAGTCCAACGTACTCAGCTGGATGTTGGGCTTGTTTTGCGTGCTGTGAAACATTGCCCAGCAAAAAAGTGCTTGGATGCATTTCTGAATGCACGCGCTGGAAGGATTGGTGGGAAGGGAGTACGGACCACATGTCGCACGCAGCTCTCCCCTCGGGTATCCTGCCATCTGACTAACCGGGCTCTCCCCGTGGCTTCCGCCGCTTGTTTGTTATAAGACTCTTTGCCCCACTCTCCAATTGGAAAGCCTGAGGCCAGATCGCTAAGCCAAGGATCTGCTCGCTACCCCTCAGTTTGGTCTCCCTTCATGGATCTGGCTTAGCTCAAGAAATGCATTCACCAGCAAGAGCCATACAACCTTCCCAGAATTGCGAGAGAACAAACAGAGTAGCTGCCAAACGACGAGCAAGCTGTTTTAAGCTACTCCTAGCAATTGCATTCCTGCGTCCAGGCCTTCCCCCCCCTCCTCGGGCTTAGCTCTTACCAACACCAATGATTTCCCCTCCGCGCTGGCCCCCTGAATCCGGCCACCAAACCTGCCTCACTCTTCTGCATGTCGCTCCTGTCCCCACTGTGCTGTACACCCTCGCCCATTCGCTGCCTCCAGCTGTCTCGCCCGCTCCATCCCATGAGCTCCTCGACCCATCACTGTACTTCTCCGCATTAATTCACATAACACTCGCCTTTACGAATTCTCCTTAAACTTTCTACACCTCCTCCCTGCAGCGCTGTCCCATATATCCCATGACACTTTTCCGTTCATGTGATTTATGCGACAGCTGTCGCACGCAGCTCTCCCCTCGGGTATCCTGCCACCTGACTAACCGGGCTCTCCCCGTGGCTTCCGCCGCTTGTATGTTATAAGACTCTTTGCCCCACTCTCCTGCCCCCTCGCGGCCCGACCCACGTCCTCGTGGTCAGGCCGTGACCTCCCAGCTCGCGCCACGTTCGACACGTGGTCCCGAATCAGCTGCCCCTGCATATTCTGCAAAAGCAGGACCCCAGACTCCCTTGTGTCACGCACGACCCACCGCTGCGTACTCAACCCTATGTCTAGGGTGTCTTTCTTCCGCTCTCTCAGGTACACCTCGTCACCAATCTGCAGCGCCGACACCGGACCACCTCTGCCCTCCCCCTGCTTGCGCTGCCTATACCGCCTTGCGTCCCTCAACTGTGCCCAAGTTATCTAAGGCTGCCGGCATGGCGCTACGAAGATAACTGGCCCTGGCTGCTGCTATCACGGCCCAAGTCCGCGGGTCCTCTGTAGACACCGCGTCCCGCATAATCCGTGGAGCATCCACCAGCAACACGGGCTCTTTCCCGTACAGCAGGAAGTACGGGGAATAGTCCTTCAGTGCTTGCTGCTTACTAAAGCGATACCCCGCCGCCAACCAAGGGAGATGAGTGTCCCACTCCCTCCTGTCCTCGTCTTCGCAGAATTTGCGCAGACCCTGCTTTAGCGTCTGTATCATCCTCTCCGTCAAACCGTCTGCTTGCGGGTGATACCGCGACGTCCGACGATGCTTGATACCCACTTCTCTTAGCAGGGCGTCGAACTCGCCCGCAAACTCATTCCCCTGGTCGGTCAGCACTTCCCCACACGCTCCGAATCGCGTCAACACCTGCTGCACAAAAGCCTCCGTCACTCCTGCCGCGGTCTTGCGCGCCAGAGCCGCAACTTCAATCCATTTGCTAGTGTGCTCAATCATCACTAGGATATACTGTCGCCCTCTCCTGGATAATGGCAGTTCTCCTGCCATATCCAGAGACCAGCGGTACCCGATCTGTCCGATGGGCAGGGACTGCAGTTCAGCCTTCGACTGCTCCAGCCGTGCCTTGCCTCGGCTGCATGCCTCGCACAACCCTACCACCCCCTTCACTTCCTTTCGCATCCCATCCCACCAGTACATCGTCTGTAGCAGCTGAGTCGTACGCTCGGCTCCATAATGCCCCAGCTTAGTGTGCACCTTCAGAATCAGCCCCTCGCGCTCCTCCGGCTTGGGGACTATTCTCCACCCGTCCCCTGTCACCAGCTGCAGTTGTTCATCCTGCCAACGGTAATGAATCCCCCGGGCCCTCACCCTCTCTGGCACCTCTCCTCCCTCGGGTCCCTTGACTTGAACCCATCGCAGCACCGCAGCATCGTCCCAAATCTCCCGGCACCCCTTCGCCGACTCGGACCTCCGAGTCCACCCCTCCTTCTCGGCGGCCACCGCCATGAAGGAGAGCGCCGTCTCCGCTCCCACCTCTGATTCCCCAGCTATTGCTAGCCCCTGCCTGGAGAGCCCATCCACATGCTGCAGGGTTTTCCCAGGCCGATGTTTCACGTCAAACTCGAATTCCTGCAGCCGCATGGCCCACCTGGCATTACGCCCTTTCAGAGTCTGATTAGTCATCAGCCACAGAAGAGGTTGATGATCAGTGACCAGGGTGAATTTCCTCCCGTGCAGGTAAGGCCGAAAGAGTTCCACCGCCCAGACTGCAGCTAACCCTTCCCCTTCATAGGAACTGTAGTTGCTTTCGGCTGGGCTGCAGGACCGACTGGCATATGCCACTACCTGTTCCGTCCCCCCATCAAGCTGGCACAGTACTGCCCCCATGCCGCTGCTGCTCCAGTCGGTATACAACAGGTAGGGCTCATCCGGGCTGGGCAGTTTCAGGACAGGCGCTGTCTTCACTGCTTCCTTCAAGGTTTTCCATGCCATATCCTGTTCAACCTCCCACCTCCAAGTCACGTCTTCTCTCGAGAGCAGATTCAAAGGCCTCGCTATCTTGCTGAAGTTCGGCACGAACTTGCGGTAGTAGCTTAGAAAGCCCAGTTGAGCGCGAAGGGTACTCCGATCCGTTGGCGCTTTGAGTCTATCGACCACCTCCACCTTAGCCTGCTAAACCGAGAGGCCTCCTTTCCCTACCTGAAACCCCAAGTACGCCATGGTTCTCACCCCGAAATGGCACTTTCCTGGGTGGCACTTCAGTCCGGCCCCTTGTACTGCCGCGAGGGCAGCTGCTACATCTGCCACGTGCTGCTTCCCATCTTCGCTGAAGATCACCACGTCGTCTATGTAGCAGAGTGCTCGTGGTACCTCCCTCAGCACTTGGTCCATCACTCGCTGAAACCTCGCTGAAGCGTTCTTCAACCCGAATGGCATGTAATTCCATTCGTACAGTCTATCCGGCCCATGAAACGCCGTCTTAGCCTTATCCTCCTCCTTGATTGGTATCTGATTGAATCCTTGACGGAGGTCCAACGTTGAATAGACCTGTCCTGCAGCCAGCTTATCGAAGATCTCCTCTGCCATGGGCATTGGGTATCGGTCGCTCTTAGTGATCCGGTTAAGACCTCGGTAATCCCCGCACATGCGTCTAGCCAACGTTTCTCCGGTTAGATCCTTCCTTGCGGCTACTACCGTCGCTGCTGCACGCTTCCAACAGCTCTGCGCACTTTGCAACCGCAATATCTCTATCGCCTGGACTCATGCGTCTCCTCCGCTGATACACTGGTTCGTTGCTTTGCAGCTCTATCTCCATCTCCGCTATGTTGCACTTGCCTAGCTCCTTCAGAGAGTGAGAGAGCCCCTTGCCCCCTCCATTACACGGCGCAACTCTTCCTTTTGCTCTTCCTCCAGCCCGTCTCCCATCTCCCAAGCCGGTGGACTGTCGACTTGTGGCGGCTCCTCTCCTCTTTCTACTGGCTCTCTCTCCCCATCTTCCCTTGTCTCCTTCACGGTTTCTGCTGCTTGCATAGCTCTGGCCAGGAGCGCTATCCCCCGAGTGTTCAGGTGGTTTTCTCCTCGCTCTACCTCCGCCCAGGCCTCTGCCTTCATGTGTTGCCAAGCCTCTGCCATGTCGAGAGCCTGCGCTGGATCGCTCTCCAGCATTGTTTGCAGGTCTCTCCACCTCCAGTGCATTAACAGCTGCATTCTCATGACTTCCTGTCGTTTCTCCGCACGGTACAGCAGCCAGACTAGCGCGTGCTGGTCGATGGCTCCCCCTATCGCTGCCCTCCGTGCTTCTTCTGAAATCCCCTCCGCCGCCGTCGCGTTTCTCATGTATCCTAGTGCCCTCTCCCTTTCTACCGCCAGAGGCTCCTCCCATTGCCCCGTAGCGAGCACTTGCACCATCCCGGGCCCCGGCTCACTGCCTCGCATGCGGAAGGCGTAACTACCAGGTGTCGCCACCAATGTCGGCCAGGCTTGCCTCAGCGCTCCCACTTGGTTGCACGGAAACTGTGTCCTGATCTCCGGGGCTGTCACCAGTGCCGGCCTCCTGCTCGGCTCTAGTATATCCTGGACCTGCCGTGGCACGGGCCGCTGCATCCTACTCAGCTGATCTCTGAGCACGGGCTCTGGGACCAGGTTCTGCCAGTAGCGTCTCACTCTGTGAGTCCTGGACCCCATTTGTGCAGCATCCCAGGCTACCCCGTGTCCCAGCTCTGCCGTCACAGCTTGATGAGCCTCCCGTACTAATGCACGCTCGTCGTCCGCTACATCCAAATTCTCCACTATGTAGGATAGCGGTCCCTGTTTCCTCTTTATCAGCTTCATCACCCGAATCAGCTCCAGGAGGAGGCCGGTGCGCGAGTCCGACAGTCCCTTGCCCTTGCCCGCCCTGGACAGCCCCTGGCATTCCCATCCGGCCACTAGCAGATCAATCTGCCCCCAGCACTCCACCGTCTCCTGAGTAACGCCGCCGATATCGTTCATCTCACTCGCCTCCCTCTCAGCCCTCTTGACCACTTCCAAGGGCAGCCTCTCCGGGAATTCCCGGCTGAGGAGCCTTGCATGATGAAACGCCATGCAGCGGACCTCTTCCTTTTTCTCCACATGTATCCATCGTGCGATGGTGAGACCCGTGCGCACACACGCCGCCAATCCTGGTCCAATTCCCCCAAACAACTCTAGCAAAGCTATGGGTCTGTTGAAGGTTTCGATGTCGTACGTGGGCTCAGTGAGCCCCTTTGCTTCCCGGTACTCTGCCAGTCGTGGCCCCGCTGCTTCCTCCCTCTTTCTCCTCTCGCTCGCTCGTTCCAGATATACTCCTGCGTCCTCGAATCTTTGCTCTGGCACCTTCTCCATCGGGGGCCCTCGATATCCGGGCGGATTCCTTAGGAAGCGTGCCGGCAAAACCACTGCCGAGCTCTCTTCATGACGCAGCTCTTGGTCCTAGTAGCGAGGCTGGTAAGTAACTTTTTCGCTCCACGTGTCTACCACTGCTCCTATCTTGTAGAGCAGCTCCATTCCCAGCAGCAGATCATAATCGTCTGAGTCCGAGACCAGGCAGTGTACACGAATCCTCGTCTCATCCTCCGCTCCTGGGGCCAGCACCACCTCTTGAGGCCTCAGTGTCCTGGGCAGCCATTTCCCAGCTCCTCCCTCAGCTGTCTGAATTCTGACCCCTTCAGGCGTCACATTCTCCTCTCGATGCAATCCCAGCCGCTCTGCCAGGCGCCTTCCCACCAGCACTTGTGAAGCCACAGTATCGATTATCGTGGTCCCGGGGTATTTTCCTTCCACAGCGACTGCTCCCTCCACAGCCTCAACCTCGCACGGCTTCGCTGCCATCCGCTCAAATGGATGACGGTGAGGGCCATGCCTGCCCCCTGTAGGAGCCCCTGTTTCGGCGTCTGCTGCTCCCGCCCGCCCTGGGGCCGGACTCACTCTGGCTCTCGGCCCTCGCCGTTCCGGCTGTACTTCACGTCGGCGGTCGATCCCTCCGCTGCGCAAGCCAAGCTCCTCCCTGTCCCGGCTCCCCCCCGAGGCCATAAAGAACGGCTCACCCTTCTCTTCGGTGTCTCCCTCCCGCGATCGGGCTAGCTTCGCTGACCGGTCCTCCTCCTCATCGCTCTCTTCTTCTTCTGCCCTCAGCTTCCTCAGTTCTTCCTCCAGGGCCTCGATTCGGCCTTTCCGACCTCCTTTGCTCCGATCTTCTCGCTGCTTCGTATAGCAGTTCTCCGCTGAGTGCCCCCTTCTCTGACAATAGGAGCAGGTCTGCAGCTTGGGACAATCCCTTTTTAAATGCCCAGGCTCCCGGCACTTGTAACACACCGGTTCCTCGCTTGGGAGTGGGGTCACCGTCTGGGATCGCTGCGGTTTTCCCTTGTATCCCCTGCCTTCCGTCCTTTCCTCCTCCCCCTCACTCCCAGCCAGCATTGCTCCTCCCCAGCTGACTCCCTTGCGGTCTCGGTCACGCCCCCCCGGCCGCTCCGTCCTCCTCCCAAGGTCGTACAGGCTCAGCGACTGTTCGTTACGCCATGCGATCTCGTATGCCTGCCGCAGAGTTGCATTCGGTCCCAGGTTGTAGGTGTGGTCCCTTGCCGTTCGAGCCAGATCCCCTGACAGCCCTTCCAAGAATTTCGCCACCACTATCCGTGGTTCGCTGCAGCTGATATCTTCCGCTAGCTGATCCACTCGGCGATAGTACGCCAGCAAGGATTCTCTGGGGGCCCTCCGCAACTGCTCGAACTCTCTTAGCTTTGCTGGGGTCTGCGTGGGGAAGTGCACCTGGAGCTCTTCCAGGAACTTCTCTGTCGGATCCTGCAGCCTTAGCAACCGGCCCTCAGCATCTCGGCGGACCCTTCCCAGGGCGTCCCGCTCCTCCTCCTGCAGCAATAGGTCGCGTACTTCCAAAAAGAATGCCTCTGCATCCCCCGCCAGCGTATTGCCCAGCGACCGGAAGAAATGCCTGAGATCCAAGCCGTCTTGCTCCCAATAAAACTTCTCGCTGCGCACGTGCATCGCATAAGTTTTCAGGCGAGGGCCTGACTGCTGATCCCCCGTGAAGCGCGCGGGAACTTCCACCTTCGGCAGGCTCGTATAACGATACCTAGTTCCCTCCTCCCATAACGACCGACGCGACACCCCGCCAGCGGTGAACTGCACGGCCCCGGCGACGTTCCCCGCCCCCACTCCGCCGCTCCCTTCGAATCCGCTCGGCGCTGTCGGTCCACCGTCTCCTCGACCTGCGTCTCCGGGCACGCGGGCCGCCGTCGCCTCTCTCGCTGTTGCGGAGAACCCCCCCCCCCGTTCGACGATCCGCGCGCATCGCGAAACCGCTGGAATCACGACGCTCCTGCGCCCGATTCTCCTTTTCAGCGCTCTGCTCCTCGCGCGTCTCCTCGCGCTCCGCCGATGGCGACTCGGGAGCCTGACCTCCTTCGACTGACAGGTTTTTGTCTTCCCCGGTCAGCGAATCGTCTCCTCCTTGCAGTTGGGTGCCACTCCTAGGGGACATCCCCGCCATAAGACTCTGTTTGTATTGGAAAGCCCGAGGCCAGATCGCTAAGCCAAGGATCTGCTCGCTACCCCTCAGTTTGGTCTCCCTTCATGGATCTGGCTTAGCTCAAGAAATGCATTCACCAGCAAGAGCCATACAACCTTCCCAGAATTGCGAGAGAACAAACAGAGTAGCTGCCAAACGACGAGCAAGCTGTTTTAAGCTACTCCTAGCAATTGCATTCCTGCGTCCAGGCCTTCCCCCCCCTCCTCGGGCTTAGCCTCTTACCAACACCAATGATTTCCCCTCCGCGCTGGCCCCCTGAATCCGGCCACCAAACCTGCCTCACTCTTCTGCATGTCGACCTGTCGAGCCGCTCCTGTCCCCACTGTGCTGTACACCCTCGCCCATTCGCTGCCTCCAGCTGTCTCGCCCGCTCCATCCCATGAGCTCCTCGACCCATCACTGTACTTCTCCGCATTAATTCACATAACACTCGCCTTTACGAATTCCCCTTAAACTTTCTACACCTCCTCCCTTCAGCGCTGTCCCATATATCCCATGACACTTTTCCGTTCATGTGATTTATGCGACACACACGTACCATGAGACACGCAGATTGAAGAAGGTAAGGCAGGAGAGCAGGACACGACACGAGTAGCCCTGCCACACGCTCCCTCTCCCTCTCGCCTGCACCATCACTACCTCACATCCTCCCTTTTGTCTCCCCTCCCCAGCAGCTGCTGCCACGTCCTGTGGGCCGTCGCTCGCCCCACAGATGCCGCGTGCTGCAGCGGTGATGCACTGCTCAGCGAAGTCGAGCACAGCGGTGCAGCTCATGATGGTCACGCACGCGTTCAGCACGTCCTTGTTCGCACTCAGCACCGCACCCAGCTGCCCACTGCCTACTGCATGGGCCCTGCCCGATCTTGCCCCATTCCCCGCGTTGTAGTCACGTGGGTCTGCTCCGCCTGCGCTATAGAGCGCCGTTGCCTGCCAGAGCAAGGCGTTGATGACGTTGAACGCCCCCACCAACACCTGCTCCCGCTCACCACTCTCCTCCTGCTCTCTCGCTGCCTCGCCACCGCCACTCATATGAACCTGTGGCTGGCAGCATGGCTGGCTATAGTGCTGCTGCTGCTGCAGCTGCTGTGAGAGGGTGTTAGCAGCAGCGATGGGACCAGCGCCACCTCTCACCAATGGCTCAACGACAATCAGAACCTGGGAAGGAGAGGGAAGCAGACATGGAGTGGAGTTACGGAGTAAGCTCACCCACCAGCAATTGCCTGACAGGAAACAAAAACTAGAGAATTATTTGGGAATGTATAATTGAAGCAGCAAATCCCCCCTTACCTGTTGCGCCAGCCGCTCCCACGCAGTAGCATGGTGTGGCGGCGGCGACTGCTGCAGCCGCCCTCCCATGTGGTGAGGCACGGGTGGCTTTGGGGGCAGGTGGGAGAGCAGGCGCGCCAGCAGGTGCAGCGCGCTGAGCAGCAGTGGGAGCGGCAGCTGCGAGCCACTCAGCAGCATGGCCTCTATGTACTGCCGCACGCACAAATGGACGCAAGGAGTGGGGGTGGAGAGGAAGAAGGAGAAGGGAGGGGGAGAGTATGTGAGTGTGTGTGCATGTGCGAGACCACAGCCACAACTCTCCAAGGCAGCGGTTTAAAGAGAGAGAGCAAGGCTGTGGGTGGCGTACCATGGTTGACAGCGCTCCTTGCTCCAGCTGTGCACTGATGCGGGGATGCCTGTCCACCAGAGTCGCCAGTGCACGAGTCACCTGCGCCAGCTGCTGCCACTCCCCCCTCACCCGCCACATCTCCCTCACCACCCCTGCCACCACCAAAGCACACCGCCTCTCTGCCTCCTGCGCCTGCTCCCCATTCCACGCATGCACCTCAATGCTGCTCTCATCGCCACCGGCACTGTCGTGGCACAGCAAGCTACCCAGCGCCTCTAGCTCCGAACCTTCATCATCACCTGCACCACCGCCGAAACCCTTGCCTGCCTCCCACGACGCGGGCTGACTGCTACCAGCTAGAAGTGGTGCAGTGCTTGCACCATGGGATGGGCCTGGGGCAGAGGGCGGCTGCAGAGAAGCAGCAGCAGAGCAGAGCCAGGCGCGCATGAGGCTGTGACTCAACTCCTCTAGGCCGTCCTGCAGCAGGATCCAGTGCGGGAGGGCCACGTGCCAGGCGGGCAAGGGGAAGGAGAGAGCGGCAGCGTGGTGCTGCAGGAAGCGCAGCAGGCGGTGGTCCGCCTCAAAGGACATGCCAGAGCAGCAGCGGCGCAGCAGCGCGTGCAGCGCGAGGAACACGAGCAGGAAGAAAGTGGAGCGCACGGGGGGGGTGGGGGGGGATGCGTATGCGTCTGCGAGGTGGTTGAGGCGAGAAGGAGCGAGGGAGGAGAGGGCGGGGAACAGGGATCCGAGTGGGGGGATGCGGTTGGAGAGCACAAGGCTCTGAAGGGCGCCGAACATTTCGTCGTAGTCCACCAGCCTGGTGGGCGCACACGAGCCAGAGAAGGAGGGGGGGGGTGTTGTTAGGGAAGCAGGGAGGCAGAGAAACGGAGGGGTTGAACATGGAGTGTGCAGTTAAAGCACATGGATGTGTGTACGCCCATGGCGAGCAACTAGAGTCATGAGGCAGCTTACCTGTCGTCGAACTGCACAGCAGCGTACAGTATGAGCAGCACCACCCACTGCACTGCCTGCACCTCCTCCTCCTCGCCTGCACCCCCCTCCCTGTGCCCACCCCCCTGGTAGCGCCATTGCATGTCTCGCCTGCCATTTCCTCCATCTGCTTCGCCCCTGCCCTCCGCTAGCAGCAGCACCATGTCATTCACGGCCCATGGCATGCACTCTAGCCCTGCCACGCCCACCATCCACTGCAGAGCCGGTCGCCCCTCCTCGCCTGTGGCGGCCACGGCAGACAGCAGCACTGCGAAGCGCAGACTAGCCCTGCGCAGCACGTCCCACTTGCTGATCTCTGGTGCCTGGGGCGCGACCGACTGGGAGAGCCAGGACGGGGCTGCAAGCGAGGAGGCAGCGGGCGGGTGGAGGGAGTGCAGGGAGGAGAAGACAAGGGAGAGCGTCCAGCTAGAGGCCAGCTTGGCTGCGAACTGGCGGGCCACAGGGGCAAGGGAGGGGAGGGAGCACGCCAGGACGTGGCTCAGCACATCGTATGCGCGCGAGAGAATGGCTGCAGGGTCGGAGAATGGCGCCGCCGCTGTTGCTGGTGGTGCTCGCTGGGGCGCGTGCATGTGACCAGGTGGGGGCTGCGGGTGTGGGTGCAGCGCGAGCATGAAGGGAGCCACGTGCATGTCTGCAGCAGCCATAAGCGCAGCAGCTATGTCCTCAACGCAGCCCTCCACTGCTGTGGACGGCTTAGAGGGTGCCTCCACACCCCACTCTTGAGTCTTGTCACTGGCAACTCGCATATACGACCCTCCCCCTCCAGTCCTACCAGTGCCTGCTGCGGCCCTACCTGCACCCTCCTGTTGGCTGCTGTGGAAAATGGGAGCGCCCTGTGATCCCCCCACCATCGCCAGCAGCCCCACGTCTTGCTGGGAGGATGTCAGAGCAGCAGCACCTGATGCAGCAGCAGCAGGAGCAGCAGGGTAAAGTGAGTTGGCGTCACCCGGCATTAACCGCTGGGCACAGCCGTGCAGGAACGTGAGAACAGCCAGAGCCACCGCATCTCTGTTGCCTGCGGTCGTGCCACCTGCAGTACCAGATGCAACTGCAGGGAGGGCTGACGAGGCCCCCCCTTGGAACTTGCCCCCTGTGCTTGGCAGTGCGCCCGCAGTGCTCGGCCCATCCTGAAGTGCTGACAGTATGGAGGCTGCATCGCCCACACACTGCTCCAGCATTCGCACCACCTGCACGTACTCTGCACCAGTGATGCTCTGCCACGTGGCGAGCACAGCAAGGGCCAGACAGGCGGTGGAGAGGGCTTCCATCTGGTCTAGCACCCAGCGCTTCCTCTCCCTTGCATCCATGCAGAACCGCCGCACCACCTCTGCCAGGGCGGACGCCAAGGCGTGCAATTTGGCTGGAGGAAACTGGGTAGTGCCTCTTGGGAGCGTGCGGGCGGAGCGCAGGGCGTGCAGGAAGATGGAGACGGAGAGCGCCTGCAGGTGGAAGTCGTTGGCCTGAATGGCGTTGCGCAGCAGCGCGGCCAGTGTGTCAAAGCCAAACACAAAGCGCTGTGCAAATGTCTGCCCGGCAGCTCCAGGAGATGCTGCGAGGTGCAGCAGGCAGGAGAGCGCGGCTGGCACAAGAGGGTCCGCCACTAGACCTGGCAGGCACAAAAGCAGGCAACAGAGAGGGGGAAAACGGGGTTTTTTTTACGATGCAGGGTGGGGGGGTGCGAAAGAATTCGGGCAAGTCAGATGGTGTCGAAAAAGGTGTCAATTGAGCAGGTGTACACGGGGCGAAGGAAGAGCATTGCTCACCAGTATCGGTGGATCTGAGCAACTCGAAGATGTGCTCTGCCAGGCCCTCGTCCAGCATCGCCTGCAGCGCTGCTGCTCCCTGCTCATCCACCGTCCCCCCACCATCACCCCCTTCCGCACCGCCCTGCTTACACCAGTCCTCCTCCCACGTTTCTCTCGCCACCCAGTCGAATCCGGACCGTCCATCCGAGCCTGTGCCATCATCTGAGGGTGCACAGGAGAGAGCGAGTTGGGAGATGAGGTGCAGGGCGGCGAGCTGCAGGGCGGAGTCAGCAGCGAGGAGGGTCTTCTTGAGCCCCTCGCACAGCATCACGCGCAGCCCTAGGGGCTCCTTCCCCTGCGTGAGCACGGCCTGGCTCTGAGACCCCACCGCCATGGAGCCCTGTGACCCCAGCCCCACCGTGCCTGCTGCACCCGGGCGCTGCGACCCTGGGCGGTGGTCTAGCTGGGCGAGGGAGGAGAGGGTGAAGGCTGGGCGAGCGGGGGCGCAGAGGGCGGTGAGCAGGCCGACGCAGTTGGCGGAGACGTCGTTGGAGTGGGTGGCGAGGAGAATGGCGATGGCGGCGCACATGATGCCCGGCACCTGCTCCTCCAGCACCTGCATGCCGCCCGCCAGGCTGCACAGCTTGTGCAGCACGAACAGACTCTCCGCTCGAATGCTGTCCCTGCACGCCCCACACAAGAGTCACACGGGAGACAGAAGCTCGCAACGCACATGCCATGTGAGAAGAATATCGTAGCTGGAATGTTAGATCATCCTATAAATCTTCAACGTCTGGACAACTGCTACACTTAGTGTGTCAGGCAGGAGAATTAATTTCTCAAGAACCCGAATGAAATGCGACGTGACGCGAATGGATGGTAGGAGGGATTCCGTACTGTGTCTGCTTGTGCAGCGTGCCCACCACGTGGCTCCAAAGGCTGCTCTGCTGCGCCAGCGACGGCGGCAGCGCGCTGTGGCGGTTGCACGTGACGGTGAGGAGCTTGCCCAGAAGAACCATCTGCCATGGCGTCGCAAGACAGCGCGCACACGGTCGCACGACGAGACCACGGTGAATGAGGCATTCGAACGAAAGAGAACTGAACGCGGAGGAGAACGACTGGCACGGCAAGGCGAGTGAGGGCTGCGGCGGCGTACCAGGAAGCAGTGGCCGCTGGTGGCGGAGGCGAGGGGGATCTTGTCCATCTCCACCGCCACCGCGCGCACCAGATTCTCCACCAGCAGCCCCTCGTCGCCCGCGCTCGCGTCGCTCTGCCCGCCTCCGCCTCGCGCGGGGCCCTTGCTGGCGAGGAACACCACGAGGTCCACTATCGTGGCCGCCAGCTCCTCGTCGCGCGCGCACGCGACGGCCTGCACTAGCGGAACCGCGAGGAGGTAGTGGGACTCGGACGCGACGAGGCGGCAGAGGTCCGGCTCCGATCGCAGCGTGTCGAGGAAGAAGCGCGCCGATATGATATTGTGCGTCGCCAGGCCCGGGACCGAGAGCGTCTCTGACAGGCATTGCGGGCAGAACTCGGATCCGCTCGCGAGCAGCACGGCCAGCGTGTGCTGGCATCGCGGCGCGCCGCCTGTACAGAACCGTCGTGCAGCGGTGGTGCTGGCGAAATTATGCCTATCCATGGCGGACACGGTGGACGCGGTGTGGATTCGGTGCTGCTGGGCGTACTGCTGCTGCGATCGGTGTTGCCGTGGGTGCTACCGAGAGAGCAAGGCGAGGGTTCCATGGTGATGACAGCAAGGAAGACGCAAAGCGGAAAATGGAGTTCTCGAGGGAGCCCTCGATTTTTGTTTTGAGCAATCTTCGTGGGTCCGCGTGAAGTGAAGTCGCGCGGGGGTGGAGCCGCCTGGAAATGTCACTAGTTCATTTCACTACATGTTCCAAAATATATTTGAGTGTTTCGTAAGGTAAGATGCTATGCTCATCATGAACCATTGGTGCTCCTGCTAGCAATAATAAATGCAATAAATTAGCCAGGAATGGTGTATATACATAAACCGCTAGGCATGCTACAGCCAAAATTTTATATACACAACAATATGGATATGAATGCTCCAATGCTGCTGGCCCCCCCTACAGGCGAGGCGACCACGTCTTGCATGTAGGATAGGGTTGTATTGTTCCCCAGTCCTCGCAGCTGCCAGAATGCACCCTTTGCTGGAGCCACTCAATCCTCCCACACCACAGTAGCAGCCTCCTCTGCAGCGCGGTGCACTCCCAGCCAATCCGGCAACACCCGCAGTGCTGCTGCAAGCTGTGCCTGGATGCCTGCCACCTCCTCCGCTGTCTCTGGCAGCCACACATTCCCTCCCCCCCAACTCCCTTCACTTTCATCTAGCCTGCTTCCATACGCTCCCGGTGCGCTGAGGAGGTCTTTCAGCCGTGACACGCATTGGCTGGCCACTGCTCGCACTGCTGCTGTTGCTGCTGGGGAGAAGGGTTGAGAGGCCGCCTTGTGAGGAAGCGAGGAAGGGGAGGGGCGAGAGAGGACGGCGGTGGAGAGAGAGGAGGAGCGGAGGAAGGAGGAGGGGGAAGGAGCAGTGGCGGAGACAGGCGGCGTAGGGGAGAAGGCGAGGACGAGGAGGCCGGAGGAAAGAGCGAGGATGGCGTCGTTAGGGGGCGGCCAGCATGTGGTGTGTGGTGGCGCGATGGCGTAGCGCTCGACCTCTGCTAGCAGCGCTGCAGCTTGGGGCAAGAGCAGAGCAGGTGAGAAGGCACCGGGATTGCAGGTGGCAGGGCCTGTTGCAGCAGCTGCTTCAATGGCTGGCCGTGAGTGGAGGAGGTCATGCTGCAGGTCCGCCCATATGCACGCCGCTACCACCTGCACGTCATATGGGGGATGCCACACACAAGGCCGGGAAACATGAGAAATCAAACCAGAATGCACGAACTTGTTGATCCACAAAGCGCCACAGCACTGCGTCGCACGTGCACAGCAATCAGAGCCGCGTACCTGCAGCAAGGACAGGCGATGCACGCTGGTGCCTGTGTAGCCCTCAAACGACGCCCCACCACCACCACCGTCCACACCACTGCCCCTGCCAGCACCCACTCGCGCGCTGCGGTCCCCCCCCGCTGCGAGAGCTACAGCCACCTTGCCGCGCATGGGCAGAGCCGACAGCACTGCCACCACTGCCATCCCATAATCCGACCCCTCTCCCTCCAAAGGTACCAGCTTCGGTGGCTTCCCGAGGCTCGCCAGCAGGTTCGGCAGAGTGGTTCGGCGAGCAGTGGCATGGCTTTCGCTGAGACTGCGGGTGTAGGAGGCAGGGGTGGCATTGACGCCCAGGCAAACCTTGCGATGGGGGGCGGAGGAGGTGGGCGCGCCAAAGGTACCATTGGTGATGGTGCTGGCCTTGCTCCCCCTGCTCGCACTCCTCGCCATGGAATTCATTCGACTCGTGGCCCTCGCACCCATGCTGCTCACGTGGCGCAATGACGGATTGCCACGTGGCAGGGAGAAGCGGTTGGGGCTGTCATCTCTGGGTTGGCTGCGAGCGGCCACCCACATGGGCAGGGAGAGTGAGGACGTCAGCTCAACCGGCCCCTCGCTGTCGCCCTTGCTGCCACTCCCGCCACCTCTCCCTCCTCCAACCCACCGCCTCCCACCCCCTTCCTTGCCCCTCTCCATGCCGTGCTTCCCTGCACTCGCCCCTCCATTCCCCGACACAAACCGGCTCAAGCTGCTCCCTGCTGCCCCACCAACCACCCCCCCTCCATTGGTGTTGCCGCTGCCCCTAAACGCGCGGCTGTTCAAGCTCTGCACCGCCCTCAACTCCCGGTACTCCTCCCCCCCTGCGCCCCCTGCCCCCTGCCCGTGCTCGTGCGCGTGGCGGCGGAGGTCGAAGCGCGAGGGTGTGAGGGAGCGCACCATGTCGGCCAGGCGCGCGGGCAGGGACGACCCTGTGGTGGCGCGCCCCATGCTGATGCTGCGCTGGGGCAGAGGTGGCATGGCGTCCGTGCACAGGGAGGAGTCGCCCGCGCAGCCCACAGGGGGGGGAGCCGCTGGAACAGGCAGGTGCAGGGGAGAAGGAGGAGAGTGAGTGTGCAGTGGTTGCCGTGCACTCATGCTCCTCCCTTGCTTGCCTTGGGGATTTCGTCTCTGGGAGGATTCCTGGCCTCCTCTCACATGCCGCTGCTGCTGCTGCTGCGGTCTGTTGTGTTGCATTCTTTGGTTTGCCTCAGAGTAGCTTCCCCATTCATCTTCCTCGTCGCCTGCACCTTGCAGCCACCCAGAGCCTTGACTCTCGTCGACGTCCTCGCCCCCATGCATGTCCTGCTGCGTTGTGTCGCTGTGCGCCACACTGCCATCCCACCCCGCGCCCTGGAATGACAGGTTGCGGCACCACTGCCGCTCCTCGTGCCCTGCCCTCTCCTCCCTCTCATCGCCCCCATCAGCCCTCCCACCGTCCACCGCAGAACCTCCACCACCAGCACCACCACCACCACCAGCAGAGGCGTAACGGTGGTGTGAGGGGGGCTCGGAATGTGCGGGAGTAGGGCGAGCAGTGGCACGAGTGGGAGGAGACACAGCAGGCTTCCGCCCCCGTGCGTTGGGCCTCTCTCTCTGAGGGGGCATGGACGACGCTCGCATTGCGCTGCCTGAGAACACCAGCACACGCCGCTCCCTCCCCATCACTGCTCTCCCCACACCTCTCGCGCTGCCCTCTGCACCACCCTTCCCCCCTCTCATCTCCTCCTCCCCCCCTCCTCTCCGTCGGTCATTCTCCACAGCACCTCGCGCGGCCTTCTCCCTTCCCTGGTACCTCTCCCGGGCGCCACCAAGAGTGGTGCTCCGGGCGAGCCCCAGCCCCACGCCCCACTCATCTGCCTCCACGTCCTCATGAAACACCACGCTTGCCGTGCTGCCCCCTCGAACACACCTCCCCCTCCTCATCCCCTCCCTCTGCTCCTCTCCCCTCCCTGCCTCCCCTCTGCCGTAATCCCCTCCATCTTTATACGCACCCCACTCCCCGCTATCAAGCACCATGCCTGCATCTGAGAAGCCATTCGCGTGGCTGGCCTCCATGGTGTCACTTGCGCTCCCATCACTTCCCCTGCCTTCATTCCCGCCTCCAGATAAATCAATCTCCCCATGACTGTCCAGCTCAGCCCATGCACTGTCACCACCATCACCAGTATGACCGCCATCACCACCATCATCATCTTCATCATCATCATCATCATCATCATCATCATCATCATCATCATCATCATCATCATCATCATCATCATAATCATCATCATCATCACCATCATCGCCATCAGTGTCCTCCTCTGATGTGTCATCCATGGCCATGCCCCCCCCCCCCATGAGGTCATCGGGAGGGGGGTCAAAAGACTCCGTTGGCAGCGCATGAACGCGGAGCGTGCCTGGCAACGGGCAGCGGAAATGTTTCAAAAAGGCAGGCCCTTCTGTTGACTGGAGGTCAATGGAAACGAAATGGCGGAACTCAGGGAACTCCTGCTGCAGGCTCTCCTGGCAGTGGCGACACAGGGGTGGGACAGAGGCACAAAGGGAGGGGAAGGGGTCAGCAACAGGGATGCAGAAAGACAGAGTGGGGCAGATGGCAACACATGGTGTGACACTTGGTCCAGTGAACAGCATAAGGGAAAGCACTTGCAAACAGCAGCTGCAGTCACCCCGCTCAGAGCTCAAAACACCCACTCTTAAACTTACATGAAGCTTATGTGCGTGTGCTGAGGCAGCTGCAAAGGGGGATACGGGCCGGAAGCAAGCAAGCATGGTTGCTCTGCTCTTTCCCTTGCGTGTGGCCTTGGAAGAATTTCCCTCCCCACCCATCCCTGCAGTGAGGGCATCCCCTGTAAGGGGCACCTCGACACAGCGCACAAGGCGCGATGAGACTCGGAGGAAGTTGAAGAGGTGGGTGGGGCCAATGCCAGCAGCAAGCACTGCAGACACGGGGGAGTAGGAATGGAGAGGGATGATTGTGAAAGGAACAATATGAATGCGGAAATCTGGACATGTATAGGAAGGCGACAGAAAGGTGACGATATGTAGGGCGGCGAGAGAGTGGGGAGGGCGTTAAGGAGCAGCAGTTCGGCACCATTTGTGTGGCCATGCATGTGAGTGACAGGAGCGCATGCAGCTCACCAGCCACGGAATCGGGCGGAGCAGCAGAGCCACCAGCATTCGCACCACCAGCGGCAGCACCAGAACCAGCAGCAAGAGCGTGAGGCAGGGCCCTGTGCAGCAGGTGGCGCAGGTGCTTGGCCTTGGGCCCCTTGTTCGCCAGCAGCAGCAGCACGTGGCGCGAGGACAGATGTGCGGCAGGCGAGGGGTCATGGGCGTAAGAGAGAGTGTGAGAGATGGAGCTGGGCCCCGTGGGAGGGAAGGTCGGGTGGTGCAAAAGGTTTGGGGAGCAAGGGGACTCAGGCGGGAGGGCGAGAGAGGGGGATGAGGGGGACACCGGCGCGTGGTGCAGGGACGACGCAGTAGGGGAGGTGGGGAAGACAAGATCAGGGGGGTGAGGGCGGGAGTGAAACAGACCAGCACTGCTGCTGTTCCACTCACTCAAATGCTGCTGCTGCTGCTGCTGCTGGATGCTGTGTGCGTGTGACAGCACACGTGGTTGCAGGGAGGCGGGTGAGACGAGATGCTGGCCATGGGATGCAGATGAGGACGAGTGTGTAAAGGGAGAGGAGCGCGCGTGAGCTGTCTCGTTCCACGATCGGTGGTTCTCCGGCGCACCGCCGTGCATGGCAGCGTGCACACCCCCCTGTGCGGAGGCAGCGAGCAGCGCATCGTTCATGGACGCCGCCATGTGCTGCTCGTGCTGCCACTGCAGCGACCGACCACCACTGCCCACTGACAGCGCCCCCGTACCAGCACGCATGGCGGCAGCGGTGCCATGTGGTGGCCTGGCAGCGCCGTGCGAGTACTCGGCCTCCAGGGCCGATGTCTGGAGCAGCGCAGCAGGCTCAGGACGAGACGAGACTGGTAGCGACAAGGCCGCCGCGAGAGAAGGGCTGCTGGTGAAACATGGGATAGTCGAGGTGTAGGCAGGCTGAGTAGCAGCTGCAGGAAAGGCAGGAGGCGAGGTGGTGGAGGAGGAGAGGGGCGGGAAGGAGGTGGAGGAGGGGGAGGGGAGCAGGGAGGCGTGGAGGGCGATGTCCCAGACGGAGAGGGAGAGGTGCAGCAGCGCCGCTATGGAGCGCCACGTGAGAAACTGATGGCGTGAGAGAGAGGCGTCGGAGAGAAGCAGGATGTGCGACGGATGGCCCGTGTAGGCCGGCACGAGGCGCACCTCACTGCGCCTGGGGGGGTGGCGGGCAGGGGAATGGGAAAATAGGAGGAGAACGACTGCAGATTCCACCTTCAGACGCTCCCTCAACAACTCCTGCCATGCGCCCCTTGGTCCAAAGTGCGTCCGCCCATCGCCCCACACCCTGGCATACCTGTGGTGCGCCGGCGTGCCTGCGAGCAGCATGTGTGCGGAGAGCGAGGCGTGGGAGAAGGCGGCAGCAGTGTCGAGCAGCGGCACGGTGACGTCCACGCGCGTGCGGTCGCCCGGCGCCATGGGCAGGGCGAACTCCCGCGCCTCGCGCTCCACCGCCTCGCCCTGCTCCGTCTGCCACTGCACCCGCACCACCAGCTCCACCTGCCCCCGCACCCTGCCAGGTGAAGGGAGGTGGGGGGAGGTGGGGGAGTGGGGGGAGGGAGACAGCGGTGATGGGAGGGTTTGGGGAGAGAGATGAGGTACGAAAGAGCAAGTGACATTGCGGGCAGTAGGGCGAGCACAGACGGAGGTTGAGCAGAGGGGGAATCAAGGCGTACGGTCGTTTGGAGGCGTTGTGCAGGGCGAACCACACGGTGATGTCCCCGCCTATGCGCGCCTGCTGGGGCACCTCCACGCCCTCGCACCGCACACTCACACGCTGCGCCGCCGCTGCTGCGGATGGTGACGCTAATACTAGCGATGGCGCTGGACCGTTGGATGGTGACGCTGCTGCGCCAGTGGCTCTCCTGCCCCCTGTCGATGCAGACGTGAACAAGGGTGGCGAGCCCCCTGCCGTCGCTGCTGCCACGGCCGCGGGCTGCAGAGAGGAGGTGCGCAGGGAGGCGAGGGGGAAGGGCGGGGGCGACGGGGAGGAGCGCGAGGAGGAGGGCATGGAGGCAGGCACGGAGGAGGAGGAGGGGAAGGGGAACGGCGGCGCGGTGTGGGGTGATGCATGGGGTGGTGGCGCGTGGGGCGGTGATGGGGATTCGAGTGGGGGGATCTGCAGAGGGCGAGTGATGGAGTGGCATGGGGATCACAGGGAGCCAAAAGATCTTGAGGCGTCTGAGACGAAGGGCACCCATGGTGCGTGGCGGTGCAGTGGGCAAGACAACAACAATCAAGTACCAACAAGAAACACATGTGGATAAGCCATCTGTCAACTCACCTGGCTCACAGTTCTCCTCTCCAAACCCTCTCTCCTACCCCGTCCCCTTGTCTCCCCCAACTCCCCCTCTTCTCCCCCTGCTCCCCTTCCGCCCCCTGCCTGCACCCCTGGAGGAGCTCGTTGGCGGGGGGGTCTGGCAGCAGCGGAGGCGGGGGAGGGGCGCTGGAGGAAGGGGTTGGCGGGCGGGCTGCTGCTGGTGCTGGCCAGAGCAGCGGTGGTGGTGGGGGGGTTAGTGGGCGGGGAGCGCGTGGAGGGAGTGGCGGGGCTGACCGCGGACGAAGCTGGGGACGCTGCGACCTGCAGCAGGGCGAGCAACAACAAAGGCGAGGTGCTCAAGTGCGACCATCTTCTAGCAAAAGAAACGGGGGTGCGAGCAGCTTTGGCAAGACGTTCCAGCAGGTGTCAATTGTTGGGTGCATGGCATGCCGTCCCGTCCTGTGCTACATCCAGCCATGTGCGCACACACACACTGGATTGGCATCACACGGCCACGGACGCCAGCAGCAACATCACACACACTCACGCTCACACACCTCTCTGATCCCTCACACACACCTCTGCTTCAACCCTCTGTCTCTCCCCCCACCCTTTCATCTTGAACCTCCCCTAACTCCCGCCTCCGCCGCATCTCACCTCCCCTGTGTCTTGCTGTGCACGTTGGTGGTCGGTGGGCGAGCAGGAGGGGGCAGCAAGGTCGGGTAACGTCCAGTCAGCGCCACTGCCCGTCCAGCTGCCGCCGCTGCCGCTGCTCCAGTACACCACACTGCCACCCTCACTCACGCGCTGCTTCCCCCTGCTCTCCCCAACCCCACTGCCTCTCCACCCATGCCCCCCACCCGCACCTGCCCCGCCAGCCATTCTAGAGCCTCCTGCAACTGGGGCGGCAGGAGGGGGGAGGGGAGCATTGAAAAGGGTTCCCCTCTTTCCCCTGCCGCTGCCACCGCTGCCACTGCGGCTGACATTGATGTTGCTGCTGCTGCTGGTGGCACCGGCAGTGGCAGTAGCAGCAGGTGCTGCTGCGGAAGGAGAGGCGCCCGCGTGATAAGAGGCAGCGCCTGCGGCTCCTGCTGCACCCATCCCTTCTCCCTGCGCTGCTCTCTCGTGTGCTCCACCTCTTGCCCTCCCACCCCAGCTACCAGACCCGCCACTCCCTCCCTGCCTGCTGCTGCTGCCGCCGCTGCTGCTCGTGGTGCTGGCCTTAGGCGCGTGCATGGGAGGCTGGGAGGCCGCATGGTGCAGGGGCGAGAGAGGGTGCGGGTAGGGGTATGGCGCGGTGGATGAGGTGAGGAGGGCGAGCATGGTGGGGGATACAGGCACCGCGTCCACCACCTCGTCATCCTCCCCTTCCTCCTCGTCCTCACCCGCCTCCTCCCCCTCTGTCCCTGCCAACTGCTGGCGCTCTCTGGCGCCGCTCTTCGCCACGCCCACTGCATGCTGCTCACGCGCCTGTCGCCCCTCCACAACCACAGCACCACCACCACCACCACCACCACCCGCAACACCCTCCCTCGCAGTATCCCACCCCGTGCTTCCACCTGCTCTCCCCCCTACAGAACTATCCGCATGAACAGGAGCATCAGTGTGAGCGGCATCGGAGCGAGAACGAGAGGCAGCGGCAGTGTGAGCAGACACACTGTAACGCCCCGCGTGGCTGTCCGCATCTCCCTCAGCGTCGCTCTCAAACACCACCACTGACCCTTCCCCACTGCCACTGCTTCCCCGCACTTTCACACGCCCCTGATGCTGCTGCTGCTGCTGCTGCTGCTGGCTGTGGCCGCTCTCACCCGTGCTGCCTTCGTTCTCAGACTCCTCCGCCTCCTCATCTCCACTGCCACTTTCACTCTCTCCCTCGCACTCGCTCTCACTGTTTTCCGCTTCCGGGTCCTGCTCCTCGTGCCGTTGACTCCCCGCCTCCCTCCCCCCGTGCTGTGCAACCCCCTCGCTTCCCTCCTCCGCCTCCTCCTCATACTCATCCCACTCCTCACTGCACTCCTCACTGCACTCCTCACTGCCCTCCTCACTCGCCTCCATCTCCTTCTCAACAACACTTCCCTCCTCTTCTTCTTCATCCTCCTCCTTCGCGTCCTCCTCCTCCTGCTCCGCATCCTCCTCCTCCCCCTCCTCCTCTTCCTCCCCCTCCCCCTCCTCCTCCTCCTCCTCCTCCTCCTCCTCCTCCTCCTCCTCCTCCTCCTCCTCCTCCTCCTCCTCCTCCTCCTCCTCCTCCTCCTCCTCCTCCTCCTCCTCCTCCTCCTCCTCCTCCTCCTCCTCCTCCTCCTCCTCCTCCTCCTCCTCCTCCTCCTCCTCCTCCTCCTCCTCCTCCTCCTCCTCCTCCTCCTCCTCCTCCTCCTCCTCCTCCTCCTCCTCTTCTGCCTTCTCGTGCTCGCATTCCCCGTTCTCGCCCCGCGCATCACAACCCGCCTTCCTCAGCACTAGCCCTGCCCACGGCACGTCCCATGCAAACCGCCCATCGCCCATGCCGTTCCCCACTTCTCCCCCCTCCTCCTCCCCCCCCCACCGTTTCTTCCCTCGCCCCTCCCCCTCCTGCCCCTCCACCTCCCGTGCCCGCGTCTGCTCGCTCTGCCCCCCCTCCCGCGCCCCCCACCATGGGGCGGCAGCAGGGGGTGCGGGCGAGCTGTGGGCGAGGAAGGGCAGGGCGCTCAAGCTGGGGCTGGGGAGATGGGGGGCGCGGAGGACACGCAGGGCACGTGCCACGGGGGGAACATGCGTCCCGCACACACCGCCCATACCCGCGCTACTCCCACTGGCGTTCAGACTTACCCCCCGCCGCACGCTCACATGCGCCCCCCCCTCTTCATCACTCGCACTCCCACTGTCCTCTTCGCGTCCCTCCGCCCCGCCATCTGCCCTCCCCCCCGCGCCTGTCTGCGCCTGCAGCAGGTCCGCGAGACTCTGGCTGCGCTGCCTTGCCTGCGCCCCCACTCCCCCGCGCCGTGCTCCCGCCACAGCCCCCCCGTGCGTCGCTCCGCCACCCAGCCTGCCCGCAGCAGGCGCCCCTTGAGCGCCCGCCCCTCCTCGCCCGCTCCACGCGTTCTGGAGGGCCCCTCTGCTCCCCCTCGTGCTCGCGGCGCCGTCCGCTGCTGCCCCTCGTCCTCCCCCCATGCCCGCTCCCGCCTCCCCTGCCGTGCTCCCCGCTCGCCCAGCCATGTGCTCCTGCGCCCCCTCGCTGCCCGCCGCGCCCTCGCTCCAGCCCTGGTCCCCCTGTGTGCACCTCTCATTCCCGACCACCCCATCCCCCCACGCCCTGAAACGTATCCCCCTCTCCTCTCCTCGCCCCTCCTCCCACCGCCCCCCCAGCCGTGCTGTGCCTCCCTCTGCACTGCCGCTCCTACCAGCCGCTGCATGCCACGGCGTCCTCGCGTTCCCTGCGTCCGCCACTATCACCCGCGCCTGCCCCGGCCCTTGGCTCTCACCCATCTCGCTTCCCCGCGTCACTCTCCCAGCCTCCTCTCCGAGCCCGCCATCGCTCGCCAGCACACCTCCGCCCTCCCGATGCCCCCACACACCCACGTCTAAAGCCCTTCCCACGTCTCCTCCGCCCCCTTCCCCGGCTCCCCTTCCCCACCCGCCAAAAGCAGGCGGCGAGGCGACAGCTGGCGCAGGCGCGCCACCATCCCCCCTGGGTGCAGGCCGCGCGACCCCAACGGTCACGGCGCTCTGTGGCGTGCCGGCGGGCGACGACTCCGCGGACGACCAGCCGCCCTTGAGCACGTCCTCCAGCGCGTTCAGCCCCTGCGGGGACCCCCGGGGACCCAGGTTCAGCCCCTGCCGCCTCATCACCGCACCTGCCGTGCCAGCTGCTGCTCCGCCGCCCCCCCCAACAGGCAGTGCCCCCGCGCGTTCCGCCTCGCTGGCGAGTCTCCCCCCCCCCTTCCGCTGGGCCCGCGCGTTTCCCGCCGCCGACTCCTTTCCGGTGCCGAGCGACTGCACGCTGGGGAAGACGGCGCGGAGGGGGGAGGTGGATCTGAGCGCGGCCTTGTGCGGCAAGACGGAGAGCGAGCGACGGCGCCAGCCCAGCTTGCGCTCGGGCCTGGCAGAGCCACCGTTGTCGACAGGCGGCACGGGGAAACCAGAGAATGTGGGGTTACTGTTGCTGCTGCTGCCGAGGCTGAAACTACTCCCGCTGTCGCCCATATCGGGCCACTTGCGACGGCTCCAGTCGTCTCCGGCAGGTGGAAGACGCACGCCCTCGCCTTGCCCGTCGTCGCCACCGCCATTGCTCTCGTCGCCATCCGCCCTCGCGCCGTTGCTCTTTTCGCTTGATCCGGCTTTCCTCCCCCCGCCTAGCCCGGACGGTCCCGCCACTCGCTGCCTGAGGAGGTTCATAGCGGCGTCTGTACGCCGTGGTGTCCCTCGCGGGGGAATCAAGTCGCATTGCTGAATTCTGGGGTTGCGAAGACTCTTTCAACGTGCGTAGGGTTACTCGCCATGATGCCGCCTGGACCCGCCGTCATCATGGCTGAGGGACGGAAGTGTGCTAGGTCAGCGTAACTACTAAGCGAGGGAAACTGTGAGCACCCGGTGACTGTGGGACTACTACTGTGCAGTTCGCTTCGCGCTCTTATTCGGGGTTTGGGCTGTGTGGGTTGGGCTCAGGCTGCAACAAGGACAAGTGGTTGGGCAAAAGCGGCGTGCGAAAAGGACAGCAGCCGTAAGTGGCGATTTCAGCCGCCCTCCGTAGTGTATATGGGAAGTGTTCCGTATTGTGTGCATCATTAGGAAATATTTAATAAATTTGCCAACTAGCTCCCTTTAATATTATCAACAAAAAAGTCCGGCATCTTCGTAAACAGTATACGCAGCCAGCAGGGCCTCAAATTGGTTTTAGGGAGGGTGATTGCTCAGGGTCGCCCATGTGAGAACCCATACTTTTGAGGGTCGGGTTTTGGTCGTAGCATGTTTTGTCAGGCCAGATTTTTTCGAAGTCTGGCATATCAGGCCTGCAGTTTTTGGGTTGCGGGCGGAGCAACCTATTGCAATTGATCGGAATTTTTTTTTCACTAAATTTTGTCAAACATGTGTAGTTATCATGTTCGTATAGACTGTATAGGGTCACCTTCTAGAGAGTACAACATTTAGGTATATGTTTGTGTACTCTCTCTCTCACATTATTTCAATTCTAGGTTTGATATGGTATCACGAGTAGGTTTCGACCCCCCCCCACCTACCGCTTCCGCTCCTCCCGTCGCGTCTCCTAGCCTCGCCTCGCCCCTCCTGAGCCCAGTCGCGACCCCTCCCCCTAGCCCCGTCGCGCCCCTTCCAGGGCCTCGTAGCGCCCCTCCAGGCCCCGTCGCGCCCCCCTTCCAGGGCTTCGTAACGCCCCTCCAGGCCCCCGTCGCGCCCCTCCAGGGCTCTGTAGCGCTCCTCCAGGGCCCCGTCGCGCCCCCTAGCGCCCCTCCTGGGCCCCGTAGCGCCCCTCCAGGGCCCCGTCGCGCCCCTTCGCGCCCCTCCTGGGCCCCGTAGCGCCCCTCCAGGGCCCCGTCGCGCCCCTTAGCGCCCCTCCTGGGCCCCGTCGCGCTCCTCACAGGCCCCGTAGCGCCCCGTAGCGCCCCTCCTGGGCCTCGTCGCGCCCCTCCTGGGCTTCGTAGCGCCCCTCCTGGGCTTCGTAACGCCCCTCCCAGGCCCCGTCGCGCCCCTCCTGGGCTCCGTAGCGCCCCTACTGGGACCCGTCGCGCCCTCCCTGGGCCCTGTAGCGCCCCTCCTGGGCCCCGTCGTGCCCCTCCCAGGCCCCGTCGCGCCCCTCCTAGGCCCGTAGTGCCCCTCCTGGGCCCGTAGCGCCCCTCCTGGGCCCCCATTGCGCCCCTCCTGGGCCCCGCCGCGCCCCTCCTGGGCCCCCATTGCGCCCCTCCTGGGCCCGTAGCGCCCCTCCTGGGCCTGTTGCGCCCCTCCTGGGCCCTGCCGCGCTCCTCCCTGGGCCCCGTATCCACCCTCCTGGGCCCCGTCGCCCCTGCTCGGCCCCGTCGCCCCTGCTCGGCCCCGTCGCCCCAGCTCGGCCCTGTCGCGGCCTCTCGGCCCCGTGGCGCCCGCCCTGCCCCTGTCGCAGCTGCCCGGCCCCTGTCGCACCTGCCCGGCCCCGTCGCGCCCGCCCGGCCCCGTCGCCCCCGCCCGGCCCTGCTGTGTCCTGCCCGGCCCCGTCGCTGCCGCCCGGCCCTGTCGCTGCCGCCCGGCCTCGTAGCTGCCGCCCGGCCCTGTCGCTGCCGCCCGGCCTCGTAGCTGCCGCCCGGCCTTGTCGCTGCCGCCCGGCCCCGTCGCAGCCGCCCGGCCCCGTCGCAGCCGCCCGGCCCCGTCGCAGCCGCCCGGCCCCGTCGCAGCCGCCCGGCCCCGTCGCAGCCGCCCGGCCTCGTCGCTGCCGCCCGGCCCCGTCGTAGCCGCCCGGCCCCTCGTCGCGCCTGCCCGGCCCCGTCGCGCCTGCCCGGCCTCGACGTGCCTGCCCGGCCCCGTCGCGCCTGCCCGGCCCCGTCGCGCCTGCCCCGGCCCTCCATACTTCCTGGTACTGTCCCCCGTTCCCCGCACCACTTTGCACCCTCCTGCACTTTCCTGCCCCGCCTTGCACCGCATTGCACCTCACTGAACCGCACTGACCGCACTGCACCGCACTGAACCGCACTGCACCGCACTGCATCGCACTGCACCGCACTGGACCGCACTGCACCGCCCTGCACCGCACTGCACAGCACTACACCGCACTCCACTGTCCTCCACTGCCCCTCATGGCTGCTGAGCTTCGTTTTGATGCTGAGGGTCAGCCTCTGGAGTTCGAGGCGTGGTTGGCTGACCTTCGCCGCCACCTCACTGGTCAGCGGCAGGACGGCCACCCGCTTTCTGCACACCTAGACGGTATGCTCCCCTGCCCTGACCCCCCTGCTGTGCTGCCCGCTGATCCCACGCCCGCTGAGCGCGAGTCCACTGCCGCCGCTGCCCTTGCCCGCTCTGTCTGGCTTTCCCGCGATGCCCTTGCTCAGCTCGCCATTAGCAATGCCCTCCCCCCCCTTGAGCGCCCTCGCTTTAGAACCATTACTACCGCCCAGGCCTACCTCGATGCTGTCATCAAGCGCTATTCTACCCCTCCTGCTGCCTCAGTGGGTCGCCTGATCCTTCCCCTGCTCTTTCCTGACCTGGCGTCCTTCCCCACTGTCTCTAACCTCGCTGCCCACCTGCGCTCGATAGATGAGGCCTGGCGCGCTGCCTGCACTGATGCACAGCTTAGAGTCCACCAGCCTCCCATGACCTCTACCCTCTACCTCCTTGCCACCCGCCTCCCTGACCGCCTTGCCGCCGCCCGCGACCAGTTCCTTAGCATCCACCCTGCTGCTCTCACCCTCACCGACTTTGTTGACACCCTGACTGCCATAGAGACTCGTCACCGCTCCATAGCCCAGGCGAGCGGTACAGTACCGGTCCCTATCTTTCAGGGTTGTGCCCCCGCTCAGTGTACCTTCTCCGACGGCTCTGTCGCTGTGGCTGAGACTGCTGCTGCAGTGCAGTCCCGCTCGGGGAAGGGCCGCCGCCCCAAGGTTGGGAGCGGCGGAGGTGGCGGGGGTGCGGGTGGGGGTAGTGGTGGAGGCGGGTCGTCCGGTGCCGGTGCGGACGTGGGGACCCTGCCCGGTCCAGCTGCCCTGCTGCCTCCACCGTTGCAGCAGCCGCAGGAGCAGCAGCCTCCGCAGCAGCCGCAGCAGCCGCCGCAGACGAGGCCGGCGAGTGCTCTCCCGCCTGGGTGGCCTGGAGCTGGTGGTGGTCGTGCGCGTGGTGGTGCACCGGGTGGTGGTTCTGGAGGCGGGCCCTGTCAGTACCAGATCCAGACCGGTCCTCGCCGCGGCTTCGTTTGCGGTAAGATCGGTCATTCCACTCCTCGCTGTTTTCGTCGTCTGGACGACCTGTTCCGCCAGCGCTTTGGCCCGGCGCCCGACCTCCCGGACTGGCACAACTTGCTTAGGCGTAGCATTCGGATTTTTGACTTGGACATGGATGCCATTGTAGCAGCCTTGCATGTGATGTATGCCGATGACTCTAGTGTGCTTCCCTCTTATTACCCCGTGTTGCCTAGTGTAGCTGTGCCTAGCGTAGACTCCCCTGCTGCGTCAGGCGTAGGATCTCCTGCTTTGCTTAGCCTCGGTGCTTCCACCGCTTCACTGTCGCCCCGCGCGACTGCTGCGCTTTCCTTCACCTTGGACTCTGGCGCCTCCCGGTGTTTCTTCCGCGACTCCACGACGCTGACGCCGCTGCCTGTTCCTGCTGCAGTTACTCTTGCTGACCCCTCCGGTGGTCCCGTCTTTGCCCGCAGTTCCACCTCCCTTCCCTGTCCGGCGGTTCCTTCAGGTTCGCTCACCGGTCTGCATATCCCCTCGTTCTCCAGGAACCTAGTTGGTGTCGGCTGCCTCCAGGACCTTGGCGTCACCACTACGTTCCCTGGTCACGAGCGGTATGCTGTCTGTACCGAGGCCGCCACTGGTGCCCCCCTTACCACTTTCCCCCGGGACCCGGTGTCCGGCCTGTTCACACTTGACACCGCGACGTCCCCGGCTGGGTCTTCCCCCCAGGTAGCTGCGTCCACCCAGGTTGCTGCTGCGTGCTCCTGTCGGTCCCTCACTCATCCGACTCTCCTTTGGCACCACCGCCTTGGTCACCCTGCACTCCCGCGTCTGCGTCACATGTCCCAGCACGGTCTCGTCCTTGGTCTCCCCGGTTCGTTCCCTGAGTTTCCCTCATCCCCCGCCCCACCGTGCACGCCTTGTGTCGAGGGCCGGCTCCGCCGTGCCCCTCACTCCTCTTTTCCCCCTACCACCGCACCCCTGCAGACTCTGCACATGGACGTCTGGGGCCCAGCCCCGGTCCATGGGCCGCGTCGCGAGCGCTTCTTCCTAGTGCTTGTCGACGACTTCACACGTTACACCACCGTCTTTCCCCTGGAGCGGAAGGCCGACGTGCCTGACGTTCTCATCCCCTGGCTTGTCTCTGCTCGTCTCCACCGCGGTCTCCCTGCCTTGCGCCTCCACTCCGACCGGGGTGGCGAGTTCGCCTCAGGTGTCCTTGGTCGCTTCTGTCGTGCGGAGGGCATCACCCAGACGTTTACCCTGCCGGACTCCCCGCAGCAGAATGGGGTCGCTGAGCGACGCATCGGTTTGGTCATGGAGGTGGCTCGCACCTCCATGATCCACGCCGGTGCACCCCATTTTCTGTGGCCGTTCGCCGTGCGCTACGCCGCTCACCAGCTTAACCTGTGGCCGCACCCCCAGCGGCCGCAGGTTTCGCCGACCCTTCTGTGGACCGGGTCCCCTGGTGACGCGTCTGCGTTCCACGTCTGGGGCTGCCTTGCTCACGTTCGTGCCTCTGGCACGGACAAGCTCACTGCCCGCACCCTCCCCTGCGTCTTCCTCGGTTTCCCCCTTGACGCGTCCGACTGGCACTTCTACCACCCGCCGTCTCACCGTTTCTTTCACTCTCGCGACGTCACCTTTGACGAGTCCGTCTCCTTCTTCCGCCGCTTTCCCCACCGTGGTCCCCCGGTTACTCCC